GTTGTTCCTCTTTGTTTTGATATTTTAAAATCTTTAATGTGTTATTTCTCATGTCAGTGTTCAGTGACAATTTTCATTAGTCATCATCTTAGAGGGAGCATGGAGATTGGAACATTGCTCTTGGTTTCAAAATCAAATATTAAGGTAGCTGTAAGTCATTTTTGGCTGAATTTTATGTGCTGGGATTATGTAGGAAAAGTACAGAAAAGATTTTGGCTTTTGAGTTTGTACTTTTCAGTCATGTTAAGGGGCTCCAGACTAGCAATATTTCTCAAGAGCAAGAAGTTATTTTGGCCTTGATTTTTTTTTTTAAGATTTATTTACTTATGCATACAAGATCTGGGTACAGGCCAGAGGTGTGGGGGAGTGAGAAGATTCTCCAGACACAGAATGGGGAACAGAACAGGTGGATTAACAGAACAGGCAGATTAACCGAAGTACACTGCTAAGGGGAGCAGCGGGTGAGTCAGGAGAGGTCTGCTGCATCATGTGGGTTCCTCCCTGGCTGGCCGGGGATCGAACTCATCCTGCAGAGGCTGCAGATTGCTTCATAGTGCCATGCTTAACCCCTTGCGCCACCAGGAAGTTGGCCTTGATTTTTTAAGAGAACTTTTGATCACCTGGGTTTTTGATCACCTGATATGCACTGTCCTGTGTGCATTTTGGAGGTTTCTTCATTCATTGGTAGAAGCAGTTTATTCTATGTTAGTAGAGACATATCTGTTAAATACATGAATAACCACATCCATATTTGTATTTTTTAACATTTATAATTGTTTTGTGATGTGTAACATAGTTAAAAGCACAAAAGCTAAGTAAATAACTTAATTTTCACATAGTGAACACAAAGATCCTATGTCAAGAACTAATGTATTATCTGTACCACAGAGGCTCAGATATTTCCTCTTAAAATACATGTTCTTTGTAATTAAGATATTTTCTCTAAACTATCAACACTGGAAATACTTGAAAGGAGCTGTTATTAATGCATCTTTTGGAAGAAGAGAACATGTAATTGTTTCTATTAATTTATATTAATAGCACTCAGCACAAGATTGACTAATAATGCTGCTTAATGATTACTTATTGAATTTGTTGAAATTTTAGATTTATTTTGCTCAGGATATGAAAAATGAAATTTAAAAATGTTTTCAGGAAATAACTCATCTAAAATTTTAAACGAAGAGATACTTAATAATATTAAGTATGTTAAGATTTGAAACATTTAAATATTGTGTTTCAACACAGTATTACTTTATATATAAAGGAATGAATGACCACAATTATGATAGTTTATTTGTCATGCCTACAAATATTTTTCCGATTGCATTCCCCAGGTTTTATTCCTTGTTTTTAAATTTATTAAACTAGGCCATCCATTCCTTTCACTAAGTATACACCATTAGTAAAATTTCATGTGTTTTGTCAGCAATTTAATGTGATAAAGCAGTGATCTTTCTGTAGTTCACACAGCACTGGGCTCTGCAAAGTATCTCTGGGGGTTCTTTGATGTCTAGACAGTTTAAATTATGCCTGCTCTCCTGCCTCCAAATCCCACCCCTGTTCTGCTTCAGGGGGTGTGGGAAATGAAAACAAACGAGAAGGACTCCACAACCCTACAGTCTCAGGAGAAAAAACAAACAAGTAGAATAAGCTGTATACCTACCCTGGCAGGTATATCGGAGAGGACCCAATTACAGGGAATGGAAGAAAGAAAAGAATGGGTGACAAATAGTGTTCTGCTTACTTATTTTGTAATATATTTCTAATATGAATATGCAAATACATCGTTAACAAAATGGACACATTGTAGAAGTACAAGGGAAGAAAAAAGAAGTCACCTTTCTGGTTCTTTCCTCCCCACCAACAGCCAAATCTAAGAATTTGTGTGTTTCTTGTATAGTGCTATATTTATTGAATAGTAATATATGGAATTGTGTTTTTAGCTGGAAAAGCTAACTTCCTTTTCTTTTCTCTCTCTCTTTTTTTTTTTTTTTTGGTTCTCCTTCCGTAAATCGTAAATCGGGATGTCATGGTTCTTCCAACTCATCATTTTAGAAAGTAAGTAACTTGAAGTTTCAAGAAATGTTTTTGTTAAAACATTGGTGTTTTATGCATATACATATGTACATATCCTATTACAGAATTCCTATATTTTAAATTTTGAGATGATTGTCCCTTGCATCAAGTGAGGAAAATTTATTTCATTAATAGGAAATAGGAAATGTTACATAGAAGCATAGAATGTATTCCTGTTATCTAAGAATACAAAATTTTAGTGTACATTTCCCTCTTTTTTCATGCAGTTAATCATTGTGAAACATGTATCTTAAAACAAGCAAAGACATACTTGCTTGTTCTATTTTTTAATATAAAATACATAAATTACACTTATTTAACCTGTTCAATAGCTGCTAAGATATTCACTTCATCAGGAAAAGAAGTCCAGTTTTTTTTTTTTAGGTTTTATGGAATTGTTGAAAATACTAACAATAAGTAAATGGTATAAAAGTTTAAATGTTTTCTTATGCATATTCTGCATTGAATGAGTCACTTATATTTTAATAAGCATTTAACTCTTGATGTTAATTTTTTTAAAGAAAATGGACCATATAATTAGTTTTTTTTTCTCTGAAGAAATGCAAGTGACTTACTTAAAACTCAGTGCCTAATTCAGTGATTTTAGTTGTAAAACTGGATGTGCTTGCAAAATCCTAATTCTAAGATGTAAATCTAATACAGTTTTTAAAATAAAGCAAATTCCCTGTATAGTTGTTTTGGGAAAGATTTGGGAAAATTATAGTAGTCACTTTTGGGGATGTATGAATATGAGTTAAATATTTCTTAATATTTCTATAGTAAATACCAAGCTTATTGAGTTAATAAACTGTATAATTTGATAATATATTCATGCTCAACAGAGCTTATTATTTATGTGAAATTGTGTGCTCATCACTTATGTTTGTAGGAAGCACAACATCAAATTGTTATTTAATTGTCAATTTATCTCTACAATTATCTTCATTTACTATACCTTAGAAAGAAATGTAAATTACAGGGATGGTAAATAATATTTGTTCAGTATTTTTTAGTTGTCTTTAAATTCATGTTAGTCTTTAAGGATCTAAATTTGAATTTTCAGAGTTTGTGTCTATTAGGACTTCAGGAATAAAGAGCAGAATGTATGATGTTGGGTGGAAACATTATTGTTATTTTATTTTTAAAAGTCTAGATCATATAATTTTATGTATAGATCTCTCTTTTACTTGGAGTGTTAACATCTTCTTGCCAAGGCCCTGTAGAAAATATGTTCTGACATTCTTACTAAATTAAAATGCCACAAATCTACATAATAATTCACAGCTTCCACTTGTCTATGCTTTTGTCTGAAGAAAATGATAAAAAAAATATATTTTGCAGTAACATGTATAGCATTATTTATCTGGAATTTATTCATAGACAGGCATTTCTAGGGAGATGAATATATTTGACATTATAAGGTATGCCTGTCCCACTTTAACTATGAGGAAAAAAATCTTTTGTAAAAAAATAATGAAACGAGCTCTGTAAGCTTGCAGGATCCTCATGAAGAAAGATATTACATATATGCACAGTATTATTACCATGTGTACTTTGGTGTTATAACTGCATTGTTTTATGACCAAATTTATATTAGGGCTCTTACTTCCTGTCAAATCCAGTAGAATCATATTGATATGTTGGCACATAGAAACCACTTCCAAAAATAATGAGAATACTTATTATTATGATACTATAAGCCTTTATGACCATGATGTGTGTCTGTGCTGACTTATTATTAAGTGTGTGGTAGCAGCTCAGGAAATTTGACTTGTTCATTTTACTGGTGAGTTTCATAGTAAATGTGGGTTTACTTGGTTTTTAGAAAAATTAAATTTAGTAACCTAAAATTATGTCCCTGTCATAGATACTCAGACTTTTAAAATTTGTGTTTCTCTTGTCCCAGCATCTTTTGGATTAAATACCCAGAACCCCTAAGAGGCAAATGAGGTGGAATAGAGCTTCTAATCAATATTTATTTAACCAAATATTGATCTTTTAGCATATTATGAAGTGAAGTGTTTGTGGAAATATAAATGAATAAAAGTAACAATCTAGCTCTAAGTTCTAGTTTGTAGAAAATAATCAGTCTGCAACCAAAACACACAAAAAAGGCTAAATTCTCTTCCAAGAAATACATACATACTACATATTTCATAGACATCGTTCTAAGTATTTGTGTAAATTCAATGTTTATACATATGCATGTTCATATTTTCATCAATAATTTAATGCTGTTTGATTTATTTAAAAAGTGTGCTGATTTCATAGTTTAGTCACCTGCATCTTTGCTACAGAACACAATTAATTGGGCATAATTCCCAAACACGTTTCTTTACTTGACAATCTGAGGAAAAGATGTCATTTTAGAAGCGGTATCAAAGATATAAACTCAGATACAGGTTTTTCTTTGGCCATGTGAGAAATGCAATCCTGTGAGTAACTTAAATACTTGTAATTTCAAATCAGTTCTTCCCTGGTTTCTTATTATTCTTTTGTTAACTTTTCAACCTATAGGATGGAGCTGGCCTTGAACTTGGTTTATTTGATCATTCAAGTGCAACCATCAAGTTGTCTGTAATATTTAAAAGCTGAGACTTCATGTTATTATTTGTAAAATAACACCACATAAACGTTTGGGCTTTGGTTTCTTTGAAATATAGTGTTGGTTGCTCTATGAATAAAAACATAATTTCAATTCAGGAGACTTTTTGCCTGAAGCCTACAAGACAGATGCATCTGATTAAGTTTGTCGAAACTGGACTGGCCTGTTATTGTAATGTAGATGTTTTCTGGGTTGGGAGGATATTTTAGAAAGGCATGCAATGGTCTTTTTTTTTTTTTTTAAGAGACTGAGAGAACAGTTTTGCACAGAAGCTGTGTCTCAAACTGCTTTATCTTTGCACACTTTTATTTTCTAGTGGAACTTCTCCATTAGCCTGTTTGAATGCAATGCTTCACACTAACACTCGAATAGGGGATGGAACATTCTTCAAAATCCCTGGAAAGTCAGGCCTCTATGCTCTCAAAGTAAGTTGGATCGTTCTGCATATTATGTCTAAATTATTGCTATGTATCATGCATTTTTTTTCAGAAATTTGAAGGTAAACAAAATTAAATTTGCATAAGGAGTAGGAGAATGACCCCTATGCCTTTTAAATCTTTTCAGATGTCTTAACAATGATTTCATATTAAGAATAAACAATGACATTTTTCTTTAAGTAAAGCATATCTGTGGTTTTACTCCAACATATAGTAATGGAAAATAGTTGTGGCTTCCTTAAAATTCTTGATTCTTAGAAATTTGCATGGAAGAGTGCCATAGATCATCAGCCAAGAGTTTAAGATGATCACAGTTGCCATAAACTGTTTGACTTAATAACCATCAGTTGATATACAGGATTCACACCTGTATGCCTTTTCTCTTTCACAAAAATAAATTTTATTCTCATTCCTTGAAAACTTGCTGATTCAAATCAAGTATTCAGTTTTGAAACAAACAGTGATCTAAAGAAGTTTTACTGACAATGGTTACTTGTTTTGTGGGAAGCATAAAAAAATGAAACAAAGTCTTCAGATAACTGCATATTGTTTTAATGTAATTCCCATTCCCATCATCTAAAATAGGAAATGTTATCTCATGCAAAATTCCAGTGGACAAATACTGATGATCTACAAATAGTCATATAACTTGGGACAAGTAGAATCAGCATATTTCTTATAAATCACAAAGAAGTTACTGCTTTGATAAATGATGGGTTACATTTAAAATTTGTTATTTTCTATCATTAAGTTGCTTTTCATTTTTTAATGCTACTCATTAAACCTGGCAAAAAAGAGGGAATTATTAATGTCTAAGTATCAAGCTCTTGTCATTGTTTTAGAAAATAACACAGGTTATTCAACATAACTTGCATTGTTTCAATAGCTTTTTGTGGCTACTTGGTGTTTAATTTTCTAATTAAAATTGTGAGTTGTTAAGCCATTTCCTTACATAAGGAAGAATACCATGCGCCATTGGGAAAAAAACAAATGGCATATGTAAAATGGAAATTTCGGTTTTGTACAGAAATTGGCAATGGCCATGTGCTTTTCTCAGTTTTCCACCTCCCCAAGGAGTGATTTTGCTTTAAAAAAATAAATCACTATTGAAATTACAAATCAAAAGTAAGTGATAATATTTTATGACTCTGGAAATATGTTGAATGTTCTTAGTTGCTAATACGTCTCCATAAATCATTATTTTAAAAAACAATTCAGAAAGAGGAGTCATCAGGCCCCACAGATGGAACGTTGGATTTAGGCTGTGAGTCTGAACTGGATGGCACAGAAATGGCGGAGGCCAGTGCCAATGGAGAAGGAAATGGAGGTCAGTGTGATTATTTCACAGCTATAACTCTGTTCTCTTAAAATTTACCTAGACTTCTGATAATTCACTAATTTAACTCCCTACCACTGTAGAGAGGATTTTTCCTAAGTTTTTACCACATACTTGGATTTATAAATAAACAATTTTAATTCAAAAGATTTGTACCTAAGAAAATCATAATTATTTGCTTTTTTGTTTTATTTTCTTTTGTTTTTAATAATATAGATTTCCCTAGATAATGTTCTTGAGTGTTCTAAGTATATTTTCCCTGCAAGATGAGGAGGTTATGAGAATATCTAGTGGTTTTATACCTATATGAGGACTGAGAATACTAACGTTTTATTTCTGTTAATGCTGATTTTTCCTGTGATCACAAGTAATTTTATAATAGCTTTTCCCTTGGTTTGTTCTCAGTAAATTAAGCTTAGTGTTAATATTCCTCACAGTGAAACAAGGGTCTAAGTTATCTTCTTGTGAAATACTTTTGAAAAGTGAGCTATGCTTCCGAAATTCTAAGGAGCATTTTCCACCTTGAATTCTATCCATGCTGGTTCATTTTTATCTTTCTCAAGACATTTGCATTATTCTGTTGGTGCATTTAATTTTTGTACTGCAGAAAGATTTTGGCAAATCTTTGCTCAACAAATGCTGCTGTACTTTATCCACTTTATACTCTGGTTCCCACAAGTCAACTCAAATGATTTGAAAGGAAGGCTGTCATTAAAGTCACTATTGGTACTCCTGAAAATCAGTAAATTATCTTTAAACAAACAAACATCAAAGAATCCTTGAAGATGTATCATATTTCAGTAATAGTTCAAAATCACTCATTTTACTAATGGTCATAGGAGTCCCTTTGTATTCTGAGTGGACACCCTGGCCCTTGCAACTGAGGTGCTTTCTCACATGCCCAGTGAGATGGATTCTGCTTTAGAACCTATCTTTATTTTTTTTTTTTATAAAGGACTTTTTTTTAAAAAAAAAAATTTATTTGTTTATGCATACAAGAACTGGGGTCTAGGCCAGAGGTGCAGGGGGGTAGAGGATTCACCAGAGACAGAGTGGGGAACAGAACAGGCAGATTTACTGAAATACACTGCTGAGGAGAGCAGCAGGTGAGACAGGAGAGGTCTGCTGCGCCATGTGGGTCCACTCCCTGGCCTGGGGATCGAACTCATGCCACAGTGGCTGCTGATAGTTTGCTAGTGCTAAGACTTTAACCCCTGCGCCACCAGGAAGGCCCCCTGAGCGCCTATCTGTTTTGCAGCAGATATTGTGAATTAACATAAGAAACAGAATTTTGTCTTAGTAAAAGCCTGAAGTTGGCTTTGAGAACTTTTGTTTTTAAAACCAACTTTCATTTAATCTGATGTTCTTATTACTATATCTTTTGAAAACTCAATCTCCCCTTGTTGTGGTCTTGGTGAGAACTTCAGCAAATTCTTGTGTTAGAGAACAAGGTAGAGCCACAGTAATTTCTGGCTTTCTGGACAAACGTTGCTTCATGCCTCATGAGCCTGCTAGAGTGAGCACCCTCATGCACTCTCTCTACGTATGCATTGAGCGTCTACAGTTTGCCAGGTAATGTTTACATTGTTGCAGTTCCAATAGTGAAAAACAGGAACAAATGGTCACTTTGTATGGGATTTACATTGGTAGATAGAAAATAGCAAAATACATATAAAAACGCGATATGGTGTATCACCAAAGGTGTGTATAGTAATCACAAGTGACATGGAGCAAAATAAATAAGGAGATGAATGGGAGAGAGGAATGCATTTAAGAAAAACCCAAGGGGAGTGAGGTTGCTTAATGAGAGAGAGTCTAGGAAGGAGAAGCAGTGAGTGTAAAGTTCTTGAGTCAAAAGAGTGCCTGGAATATTTCAGAAACATAAAGAGGCCAGTGTGGTTGGGGTCAGAGAGCAAGGGAGAGTATGGTAAGATACACAGTTAAAGAAATATGGGGCCAGATTTTATATTGTCTTCATATCAGTTTTAGTTTTGTATAAGATGTTAAACCATTGTGGGATTTTGAGATATAGAGACAATGATATCACTTAGATTTTAGCAAAATATGAAGTTTCCTCTTTCCCTCCCTCTCCCTTCTTTCACCCCCTTTTCCTTCTTTCACCCCCCCCTTCTCTCTCCCTGGCATACATATTTATGTGTGTGTGTGTGTGTATGTATAAATGTTTCAGGTGCTCTACAGAAGCAGTAGGAAGTGTTAGGGTGTTTGAATACAAATGTAGGTGAGAACATGTGGAAGAGGCTTATGGAAGTTTATATTTTATTGCTTCCTTTGTCTCATTGTCTTGTCTTTCTTTGTCTCAATCCTTGTCTCATCAGTGGGGCATAAGGATAGAGGGGGTAATTTTATGTAGATTTAAAGAGATAAAAAATGTTTGTCTAGGGTCTGTAAGCAATAAGGATGTGCTTTAGATGGCTAATCATGAATTTAATTTGAGACCTGTGAGCATGGTGTACATTATTCTCCGGTCATGTTCAGAATCACTACAAGATCAGAGTAAGTAGAAAGGCAGATTTGCCTAGAGCTGCGGTTTTCCCAAGTGTGAATGATGAAGCAAGAGACAGACATGGGTACATGGAGTAGTTAATATCAATCTCCGTGGAATCTCAGCAGATTGTGGATGCGAGTGAGGACACAGGATTGTGTAAGGGGTGATGTGAATAGGCGATCTTCTTGGAATAGAAAGGTTATCTAATTTTCTACTAGGTAAATAAGTGAAGAATACGTGTTATAAGTGTGGTATGCATGGAGTTGAGTTTAGGCAATTGGAATATATGCCTGAAGTGAGAGGAAAATAGGAATCTATGTTCAAGGTTGTTGTGAACAGTTACACATTTGCGTACTTTTTAGAATGACCTGGCCGAGGAGTTCATCAGTGACTGAAATTCACAGTCCTCTCTGCCTAGCCTAGTGTCGTGGATTTGAGCAGGGTTGACCTGAAGGAAATGCTGCCTTAATTCTACAAAGTTATAAAGGCTAGTGTTGACCTTGACATAAAGATTAGAGAATTTTGTGTGTATATATTTGAACAGATAATTATTACAGAACTAGCCTTGAAAAGATACGACATTTTGGAACTAAAGGCTTTAAAAATGAAGGTGAATCCCTCAGGAGTTGATAATAAATACATTAAGAAGGAGTATCATCTGATGACATGAGATACAATGCTGAAAGTATCCAAGATGCAGTGGGGAGAAAAGAGGCCACCTGTCCTGTTTCAAAGCTCAGTAGTCAGTGGTACAGGGCGTATGGGACAAAAAAAATACAGGGCTACTGCTACCTGAGATGCTTCCAGGAGTAGTGTCCAGGACAGAGCCAATTTTTGCTGATCAAGGAGTGTTCAGAGAAAGGATGGAACTTTTGATAATGACTAATCCCGAATTCCAGAGGAAATAGTGGAAGGCCATTAGTGGTTGGGAAGAGGGAGGGGTCAGCATGAGAATACTTCTCTAATCATTAAAGAAGGGATAAGCAAAGTCTCCTAATTTGAAATGTCAGTAGATACTTTATAAAATAACATACCCACACTTCTTCGGCTAATGTCACCAAAACTAGATTTCCTGGCCTTTCCTTTGAAGTTGCATTAGGGAAATTGTTCTGGAGAATCACTGAAAGCATAGTAAATAGCTTATTTACTTGAGTATTCCTTGACTTATCCACTTTTGCATTTTAAGGACGACACAATTGCTTCTTGCAGGACAGTTATATTCCTATCCATGTAAAAACCATGTACTTTTGTGCATAGGCCATTAACGTATCTTTAGGACACATATTCAACCCTAGGTATTAAAGTGATGAGTGCTGACAATGTCAGCCGATATAGCAGTATATTCTTTAATCCTCCCAACAGTCCTGTAAAATAGAAAATTTCCTAGGCTTTGTTTTTTTTTAAATTTATTTTGATTCTAATTTATTCTCTGTTAATTTATTCTTTTTTGAATCTATTTAATTATTATTTTTAGCCAATAAGGAAACAAACTCAGAGAGGTTTAGACTCTTTCAAGTGGCAAGCCGAGGTAGATAAATATGGCACTAAGAATCAGAGCTCTGACCACTGCGATACTTTATCTGGATCACAAAGAATACCGTAAGCCAGTACTCATTGATCTACTCTGCCTTCCTAACATTTTCCCAAGACTTTTCTGACTACAAACATGAGAAAATGACAGAGGGAACCACTGGTTAATCCAAATAAAGTAGTGGGGGATGCCACATTATTTTGTACAAATCAATAATAAATTCCATGAAACTCAACTGGTTTAGGTGATTTCTTACTTACACTTGTGTTTAACACATATTTGAAGCAGAAGTTAGAATGGATATAATTTCCACACTTCCTACAGCTGTACAAATATACTTTGAAAATCTGATCAGAGAGAGAAGGTGGTAATGTGTACTTGTGGGAGGAAGGGGGGGCGAGGAAAGGAAGGGGGGAGGGTCTCACCATCTGTTTTTTATCTTTATTCCCCTCCTCTCCCGTTTCTCCTTTGGGCTGAAAAAGTGGGAAGTACTGAGGTGAATAATAACTATCAAGTAGTAGGATACCTTCAAGACAACCCAAAGCATAAACCACTGCTACTATAGAGTTATTTCAAATTAACAAAGATTAATTGACATTTGTAGCAGCATTAAAAGAGATAAGCAAAGAAGTGTTTGAGAAGAAAGCACTTAGAAAAACTGATAACAAGAAAGACATCTTAGCAGCTTGGTTCCTGTCAGTAACACTTGAGTCCTTAAGTAAAGTTAAGATAATAAAAATCATGTTTTAGTCCTGTTCTTGGAATCTGTTGGCCAGCAAAACAGATTCTTTTTAAGTGGGAGATGATTTGCCAAGATTTTTTTTTTTCAAGTTCTACTGAAAAATTTTACAGAGTGGAAAAAGTGGTATAATATTGATCATAGAATTTACAAAACTATATTTATGCATTACGTCTCACTGATTCTTAAACAGTTTTTCACATGAATAAGAATTT